ATATACGAGGCTCGTCCTTAAAGTAAGTTTCCCTGGGGCCGTTTACAGAAAGAAAACACAATTTCATGGAAATATTTATTGCAACAGATACAGCAAGTGTCTAGCTATTTTTCAACATATTCGCCACCGGAATTGAGACATTTGTCATACCGTGGGACCAACTTTTAATACCTGTGTCGTAGAAGTCTGCCGCCTGGGATTGGAACCACTGTGTGACAGCCATCTCCGCCTCTCTGTCATTCTCAAAACGCTGACGCTGACCGGACAGGAATTTCTTGAGGTGTAGGAAAAGATGGAAATCACTGGGAGCGAGGTCCGGGCTGTAGGGTGGATGATTAAACACCTCCCAGCTGAACTTCTGCAGGAGACTTGCTGTCCGTCGAGCCGTGTGCGGCCTAGCGTTATCACTGACCGCACTTCACAGTCGGCGGGGGCTGGAATAAGAACCTCCATCTTCAACAGCTGCAACGATGCTACTGTGAGAACGCGGGAAGTACCGTTAGTGCATGCGCCATGCTACGTCATTGCTCTATCACGTACGCACAGTCGCTTCGCGCAATATAAGGTTTGCTAGCTGTGGGACGAGTGGGAAACTTACTTTGTGGACGCGCCTCGTACATATGTACTACGTACAAAATATTTTTAGGGATATTTGCTTTGCCATGTCCAAATGTCTGTCTGCCCACATGTAAGAAATTGAGAACTGCTTTTCTTATGAAATTTTAATATTCAGGAGTTTTGCTACAATCCACACATCCAGTTTCAGTTAAAATCAGGCAAACAGTAATAGGCACCTACATGGATTTCTTTGTGCAGAAGTGACTCGGTGGGGAATCCCCACCCACGCATCAAGTGATGAATTCACTGCACGCGTTTCCTATCCTGTTTTGTTGACTGTTACAGGGAGTCTTGAGTCACTCTATCAACTGGAAGTTGCTCGGCGCACAGTATTTTTCTGATGATGTTTTCAGGGAAGAAATTAGGAAGTTGGTCGAAGTTAATAAGGTAATTGTGTGAGTGTTTATGTTTTGCAAGACTGGCCTTCCGCTTATGACTTATGACTGTACTGAAATGCGGTTTAAACCGAGTGGTAGAAAGCCCATGGGATTAGATGAAGAGGAAGGCTTGGATTCTTGTGCAGAATAATTAATTACAGATGTGTAGACATCCTGGGGGTATTTTAACTCTTCAGCCAGCATCTGAAGACCCATTACATTAACAAATTACTATTTTGATTTTTTTTAAAAATTTTATTTGGATATATAATTTGTTTAATATTGGTTTAAATCTTGTCAGTCTAATCACAATAAAATTCCTATTAAATATTAAATTATTACTATAATTAACATTTAAATATTTAAAATATATTAAAATGATCTCTATCGAAATGTTCGATTTACATTAGAACATCACTTTTTACACGACATGTTTCAGTTCCAAATGAACTATCTTCAGGTGTATAAATTATATAAACTTAAATATAATTTCTTAAATGCAACTTTTAGTCAGATGTTTATCAGATATCAAAATGATGTTTTCTTCCATATTTTATTGTATTTTAATATCGTATTCAGAGTTGTTCTGTATATGTACGTCGTGCTTAACATGATTTGTGTGGGTGAACGTTGAACGTTATTTACATCAAAACCATGTCAGAAGCCAAAATGATACTCGCAAGGTGGCGACCAACTTGGTGTAGCCAACGGTTGGAAAGAAATGTTGACCAGTCAAAATACAGTGCAAAGCCTAATGAAATGACACGCATTTTACAGGAACTAAACAACTGAAATGGTAAGGAAATTAATTGGACTGAAAAAAAAGATTGTGTAAAATTGTGAAAAACATTTCAGAAACATAAACGCAAGGTTTTACATTGGAGTCCGATGGCTCCAGTCACAGACTGAGTATGTGCACTATTTGTAAGTTGGCGTTACCAATATCGAGATGAGTCTGCGGTCTGAGGAATGAAATGCTGATGGCTCAGACAATTTGCACAAAGCTAAAGCAGTTCTCTCAAAATCCTTGAAGTTCAAAACTTAAAAGCAATGTTTGAATGAAGACGAGATTGGTTTCTGTCGGCTCCGTCTTCTTGGTTGTTGTGCTGTGTAGTCTGGTAGAAGTTACCAACATTTCAGAGGTGCTTGCTGCCTCGCTCATCAGGGCGATGGGTGCTGATGATGGAGATAGCAAGTGCCTTTGAAAGATCTGCGAACCTCTACTGGACTATGTGGTGCAACATCCCAGAGGACAGTCTTCTTCACAGCATAACCTAGATTTACAGAACTACCCAGACAGGTAGGAAGAGTATGAGTCATATACGAGGTGCGATCGGAAAGTTTCCAGACTGCGCCTATAAAAACCCGTACACTTATCTCAGGTATTAAATTCATCCATCACCCTCGAAGTAGTTCCCCTGGGAGGAAACACAACGACCCCAGCGCCGCTGCCAAGCCTGGAAGCATCCCGGGAAATCTTTCTTTGTCAGCCTGTCAAGCACCATCTGCGATTCTGCCTGAATCTCTTCTATCGTCTCAAATCTCATTCCCTTTAGCTGAATTTTCATCTTTGAGAAGAGGAAGAAGTCACACGGAGCTAAATCCGGCGAATAAGGAGGGTGCAGGATGACGGCCATGGTGTTTGAGGCCAAAAACTGCCGAACTTTGAGGGCGGTGTGCGCTGGCGCGTTGTCATGATGCAGCAGCCAGTTGTGGTTGCGCCACTTTGACGGCCGCTTCCGTCCTTTAGAATCAGCTGACAGGTCCCATAGCCTATCCCAACAATGTCGCACAAGTCGTTGATGGTACGACGTCGATCTTCGTAACATTTTCGGGCGTTGTGCTCGAAGATGGTCGTCCAGAACGCTCGTCATCATCGACAGAGGTTCGGCCATTTTTAAAACGTGAATGCCACACAAAAGTTGGTGCACGACCCATTGCGGACTCCCCAAATGCTTGCTTTGTTGTGTAAGTTACAGAAATTTAAATGTGTAATATGCGTGTTTGATGATGGTTCTTTTTTCCTTTTCATTGAAGGATGCATTCCAAGCTGGGCAACATTTTGCAAAATACTATCCGCAAAGCATGGATCACATTAGTAAACTGTGCAGAGAGCAAGATGTATTAAACAAAGGAAGGGAGTCACAAAATGCATCTCCACCAAACTGCAAGTCTCTCACCACAGAATTGCAAATGAACCGCGACATCGACCAGCAAATAGCTGGGTCGTCCCTATCAAACCATCAAGCAGTTGTTAGTAATTCCAGTGTGGCTCCAGCTTCTGATTTCGAGGTCCACGGTCCGACTTCAAAGAGAATTCTGAGCCCTAAAGTTGACGTTACCTCAGTATCAAATATAGGTACAGCAGATTTGATGACAAGTGCACTGAAACGTTCACACCTGATAAGTGAATTAGAAACTTCAGAATCGAGCAGTGTTAATTGTTTTAACGCGAATGTTACTTCAAAGAATATACCTGACCAAGCTTCTAAAGTCACAAATACAGTGAATAGTTTATTAGCTAAACAAAAGCATTCAGACACAAATATTTTAACTCGGTTCAGTGAATCAGAATCAGGTTTTCTAGGTTTCAGAAACAAGGACTTAAAGGACAAGAACTCTCTAAATGATGCTTCAGTGGGAAGAGTCAGACTGAAAGGTAAATGAAAGTCAGTTTGTTGTTAGATTACACCTGTAATTGTCATTAATGAAATGGAACGCCATTGAATTAATGCAGCTGTTAATGGCCATTTTGTGATTTAACCACCACCACCCCCCACCCCCCACC